GCAAAACCTGCTGAAAATTAACCAGAAACAAATGCTCTTCAATGTCACATGATCGCAGGCCTTTGAGAAAAAAAAAATCAGTAAACAAGTGCATACAAAAAAAAGGATTAATCCCCAGATTAGGCAATGTTGACTTTTTTTTTTGTCTGTTTTGTTATCACAACGTTGTTCAGCTTAGTTCTCTTGAGGCTTTAAAAAAATCTCTTCTGCTCAATTGCATACATCTTTCCTGCTGGAAGCTTCCGGAAAAATAAACTGTTGCCTCTGCTCATGTTGCCCTGCAAGGAAGAAAGACGAGACGCTTTGAGTTATGACAAGAAGAACAACAATGCAAACTGTTTCAACTTAATGGGTCTGAAACTGGAGTCTAGCTAGAACCTGGACCAGACAGCACATGAAATTCCTTCTCTTAAGGTGCAAAGATCAGCATGACGTCTGAGAACTGGTCAGGACTTCAGAAGAACGATCTTCATGTTACAATCAGACTTCAGACCAGATAAAAATGATATTTCTGTTACATACACGTTTGACATTTTTCAGTATTACTATCAATATTTAGCTTTACATTTCTACTCAGCTATCATACTATACAATACATCCCTTACATATAACAATATAAGTAATAACTGAATATTATCTGAGCTGATCTGATCACATTTACTTTGTTTTTAATGTTCTTTGTTGCTGTTTTCTGTTTTTCGACTACTGTCCTTTTTACATTTGTGCATTAAAAGATGCTAGTATACGTTGTTAAGTATTCCTATTATGGTACCCATGTGTCAGACAAGGAGGGGAAAGCAAGGTACATACGAAGTTTCACCTGCCATATTTAACATGAATGTAAAAATACAGTCTACAAGGAGCCAACCAGTATCTTGAACAGTTTGCCTGGTGGTGCAGCAGAGGGCGCTTCAGAACTATCCTGGCGGCCTGACCTGGACTGACCAAACAGTAAACTGATCGAGCAAAGCTGTGCTGTTAGAAATGAATTAATGAAGTAATGACACAGAATCTGAAAATCAGGGGCTCTTGTTTAAATCTCAGCACATGTTCAAAAACAGCTGCTGGTCCTATTATCTCATTATAATTATGCATGTCAGATTATCATTGATTTTATTAGTTTTTCTCTCTGTAAAGCACATTGAGTTGCCTTCGTGTATTAAATTTAACTTCCTCTATAGCTACAGAAAAGCTGTTTTGTATGATGTTAGTAAATTTTACAGTTGTTTTTCCATCTGCTGTAAAACCACACTAGAGCCTGAGGTCTCTTTAGTGTGTATCTGGTCTTAGTGTGTTTACCTCTCTGCTTAGATGCCTCCAGCAGTCCACCCAGGTGGAATATACAGATGCATAGGGGGGCAGGCCTCCAGCAAGCCTGCGAGGATACAGAGAATTTAAGTCTGCTGGAACTTATGAGGCTTTCAAAACAACCAACAAACTGATAACTCACCCGCAGTTATTGACAGCCATGAGGTTTGACACCAAAACGAAAGGGTACGTGAGCATACTGGCGAAGAACTGCAGGAGGAGAAAAGAGCAGGACTGTGATCAAGCAAAAAGGTGGACACAGATGAACAGGTGTGTACAACTGATTTATGTCACACTCACCCCTGTCACAGCCTGAGAGCAGTTCTTGATTTCTCCTGTGTGGCTCATCTGTGCACAAGATTCACAGTGTTAGCATAAACTTTACATTGAAAGAGGATGACTGAACACATCAACTTGGAGAAGAGACTAAAAGTTTCACAAATAAAGGGTCCCAGCCTTTTAATAAGAAGATAGCTCCTTTATACTTATAAAGACAAAGATGACAAGGCAGAGCATGCTGTAAGGGTGTGGCTCTCTGACAGATAAGACAGAAGTGTGACACCCTTTCACTCACAAGTGGGTCTTCAGGCTTCAAGATAATAAACCAGCTCGTGTCAGGGTGACTGTGTCCTGATACTTTTACAGTCCACAGTTTTTTGTTTGGCTTTTTAAAAATATTTAATTGAAACTTTTTTTCCAGAGGCCCTAATCCTCTTTTGTAGTTTGCCACTCTTGTGGTGACCCAACAGTTCTTCTGCCCCCCCCATATCTGTCTGTCACGATTAAACTGAGCTTGAGCTAGTCTTTGGTGTCACACAGATGCAGTAGGTCTTATTTACATTTTACCAGCAGCGAGTGTATTTTGATAAAATCTAGGTGAAATAGAAAGATTTGAGTTACTCTCAAACAGCTTTTGTTTCAGAAATCAGTCATGTTCTTCTGTTCACCTAGCCCGGTATACTCTGGTAAAAATGTACTTTTCAGGTGTGAGGTAAACACTGATCGATAAACAGCGATAGATGAAAATGACATTAAAATAATGACATATGATCTGCAGCGTGTAGACTGTGGGCTGGTTGTACCACAGACCCCCGTTTGAGTGAAACTGAAGTACACAGGGTCCCTTTAAACTTTGGCTTACTGCACACAGTATCTAGAAAATAGTGTATTCAAATGAAACCTCCTATCCAGAGAGCATCAGCTCTCCCCGGTGGGGTAAAAAGAGTCCACTTACCGAGTCATCGATGGCGTATGTATTGATGAGGTGAGCCAGGAGGTTACAAATCCACAGAGACAAGACGTCACCGAGCAGGCGGGGGATCAAACCACTGAAAACAAACACAGAACAGTCTGATATCTGACTTTAAAATTGTGAATATGAAAAACATTACTGCATGATTTAACTCTCAGTGCCGCCTACAGTCATGTGGTTCAAGTTCTGCATTTAATAGAGCAACATGCATTGAAGTCACACCACACTATTAGAGTTCTCAACGGGTTGGTGTGTCGACTCAGGGATTGTCAGAACCCCTAAGAGGGTCCAATACTAAAATCTAAGACAGTAGTTTTTAACAATGATAGAAAACAATCAAACACACACAACACAGCCCAACAAAAAGACATTCATAACATGGTCACACTGATTGAAGAGTAAAGACAAGGAGAGTCAAACTCACGCAAAGAAGCCCAGTATGCCCTCTTCTCTGTAGACTGTGACAATGGAGTCAAACACTCCGCTAAGAACAGAGAGATTAATTTAATATTCAGTATTTTTAAGTCTATTTGACTATTAAGCATCTTCATTGTTCAAAGTTTACCTGTATTTTGTTTCCCTCCCGATAAATTGGACCATACATCGCAAAGTAATCACTGAAAAACAAGGTGAACATGAGTAAAAAACAGACCAAACAAGAACTGTATCACATCAAAAACAAAGAAAGACTTGAGCCCAGACTCTGGGAGTGTCACATATTTAACATTCAGAGAGTAAAGCTGAGCTAATTGGTGAGTTTCAGAAATTTAATGCGTACCATGGAAGGGATGTGTGACAATGGTGGCACAGGACCGGGCTATCATCTCTTTGGTTGTCTGTGGAAAAAAATAAAAACACTCAGAACAGTGAATATAAAAACCTAATAAAATAACAGGTTTTAACTCAAATTAACCTATTGTTTCCTTAGTTGTTGGGATAGAAACAGCTTCAAAATAGAAAATGTAGGACTTACATTTATGTAAAGACCATAAACGTTTTTCTGTATGAATAAGGAGGTTGTTTATCTGTAACAGCTGGATGAGCACCACGGTCATCAGCACCAGTGTTTGATATTAACTTCACTACGTCCACTTGAACCTTTAAACTTCAACTACATGTTGTTCTTGGATGACTGATTTTTGTTGTTGTTTGTATTTGAGACATCATAAAAACTACCTAATGTATTTTTGAAAGTCAGCTGTGGTAAAAGTGCCCTCTGATGGGTCAGTGAAAAACTCAAAACATGATCTAGACCTTGTTTAGAGAAGTGAAAAGATCCAGGAAAACTTTGTAGAGTTTTCTGAGCTGTTGTGGTCTGCCCTGCCTGAAAGCTCAGAGGCTTTGTTACTGGATAGATCTTCTCATGATCAAACATCAGTTTCCTGTTAAAGGCTGTATGTCTCTGAAACTGAACAAGTGTCTCACCTCATTAACAACATGCTGTAGGGAGCCCTCCAAAGCCTTCTGCTGACCACCCAGTACCTGAACAAAGACAAACACCATTGATTACATACTACTCTGAGGACTTGTGGAAATGACAGTTTCAGACAAGATGCTGACAAGAGGAGAGCTGATGAAAAAGAGTAAAAGTAACAGACTCCTACACTCATATTTCTCTTTTCTTGTTCTTAGGGGCATAAACTGAAAAAAGTGTAGTGAATCAGACTTTGCATTTCAGATTTTGCTTTTATACTGAGCATACAGGAAATATCTGCAGTCCCTCAGATGGTTTTATCCAATAACCGCGTTAGTCAGGTGACAAGCTACTTAGAGACTTTTTAAAACTTTTAAAGCATGGTTCCATAGAAGACCAGGATGTAAACATTTGGATAATCAAACATCATGTCACTTAACGATCCATCATGGTATCAAGTTTCAGATAAATTCATCGTACCAAAGTCAAAAACTCTTACCTGTGGTGTGCCTTGTTCCTGACATTTCTGTGAGAAAAGAAAGTTCACATTTAAAATATTTACCCTCATTTACCCTGAAAACGATGCCACTTTAAGAAAATTACATCCCTGCTATATTTCCACTAAGATATTTATAAAAATCCAGGATGATCAAACATTTGCCTGTGCTGAACAAAATAAACTTAACCTCACTACTACTCAGGGAAATGCTTTCAGGCTGATACTTACACAACAACAGCCCACACAAGAGTATCAGTGCATTCATTCTTCCACATGTAGAGGATATATTAATATTTGATGGCCTACCTGCACAACTTTGCTGTGCACAACAGTGCCGATGGTGCCTGCACAGAGCCTGGGACCGAGTCCTTTGAAGAGACCGGCTTTTCCATCAATCTTGATGATGTGTTTTGCTAAAATGGTCAAAAAAATACAGCTGAGAACATTTTGTAAACCCGCAGCAGAGTGCGTTTTATCAGAAGAGACATACATCCTGTGAAACAAACTACCCAACACTCAACCTTGCTATGGGATTATTCTGAGATGAAGAAGACCTTTACCAGGGCTGTGTGTTCTACACCAACTTTATTCACCAACAACTAGTTTGGAGCATTCATAGGTTCATTATTCAAACTTGAAATATTTACTTTGTTACAGGAGTTGCTTGTTAAAACACAAATAACAGCTGAGGGGATTACGTGTTATAACTCATGCAATGAAACCGTGTTTGGATCCAAACTTAGTTACTGCAAGAAAGAAAATCTGAACAGCACACAGGATTTATTTGGCAATTCATCTTAGAGGGTTTTTTAAGCATGATGCATCAGGACATGGGCGGCAGGTTAAATTTTGCATTATTGCCTCATTCATCAGAGAATGAGAAAGACATGCTACTAAAAAACAAAGCATCAAATCAAAAACTGGCGTTTTGATCACACGGAGAAGCACTTCTATTACTCATGATTATTTATGGATTTTAGGGAACCTTTTTCCCCACTTATTTAAAAAAAAGACACCCATCTCTATATATTGTCAGGTCCAGACTGGAGCAAAAATGTCTGCCCCTCATGTTTGATTAAGTACAAGAACTTTTAAATTTAAAGCTATTAAACTCTGACTTTAATGAGATACAGGGGAACTCTTATACTTGTAGTGGATTATTTCCACAGTGTGGGCAGTTGGTGGGATTGTTAATGGAGCTGAGAAGTAAATTATCAGAATAGAGAACTAAGAAGTAATAAGAAACAAGTTAAACAGACTTTGTGAAAAACATCAACATTAGTCAGAAATGACTGCCTTCAAAGAGAACGTGATACAAACACTGAAAAATTTAAAGTTTAAGGATTTTCTGAAATATTCTCACAGACACCCTCCTGAAATATCCTGAGTGGAGCATGCTCTGAACATCAGTCCCAGTCCAGCATGCTTCAATAACTGTGGGAGAGCAGAAACTAGGATTGAAATTTGACTAACTGCAACCAAATGGCCTGTACAAATGTTTCTGGAGAGCAGAAAACACACTACGCAGTTTTGTTAGACCTGAAGGATACAAACAATACACTTTGCTGACAAACACCGGATGTAAAACAAACTTGACTCAAAGAAAACGTCCACAGGGCACATCGAGAGGAGAACAGACTTTAGGAGACTTGCCTTGGCTTTTGTCATTCCTGTTTAAGCACACAAAAATAGATTTTATTTATCTATTTTGAGAAGAACTCTGTTCTCACTGATAGGCTGTCATACAACCACAAGATCAGAAAGTACAGGAACAGCGTTGAAATGATCTAGCATCCAACAGTCCTCGATTCTGCACAACACAACATCAGTGAAGAGACGAGCCTGTCAACATCTTGGCACTTTTACAAGTTCTTGTAATGTTTGAATAAAACCTTGCGCCACTTTTTTAGAGCGCGTAAGTCATGTCAGGCAACATGAGACGCATATCATTTCAATTTCTAAAACCAACAACATTGAAGTACAGAATGAAAAGATGAGATACACTCACAAAAAACATGAGTCTGTCTTCCTTCTCAAAGAGTAATGTAATAAATAAACATATTTTAACCCACTCACCATAAGCAAACAGTCCTGGCAGCTGGTAGACTTGTCTGCCAAACAGGTTCCTGCCCAGGCTTGGAGGGAGCGGCTCATGTCCTACCTATCAACACATGCAGGCACACATCATATAAAAGCGAAGTGATAAGCTTAATGTTGTGCAACTGCTCTTTGTGCACACTTAATTAATTTACTGGAAGGTACTCTTTCTCCAGGCTTTACTAAACAATACAAATGTAAGAAGCACAGTGACATGGATTTAAACTGAGCAAACAAATGTATGACAGAGTGACAAAAGAAATGCTTACAGAATAAAAAGGATGAAAAGATCAGTTTTAAAACCTCTATTTTTTTGTCTGTTTTGGGTCAATTTTACTGCTCTGATTAGTAGCTGTGATGAGGGTAACTTGATCTGATCAGTTTCAAAGAATTAAGAGATAGAGATAACTAAGAATTAAGATTGAAGTGAGGGGTATGTTTAATGAATTAACATTAGTTTAAATACATGTTCAATCTTTGATTTATTACCGTTGTCTGTCCCCCAATATCTGACAAAACTGATTATTTCTGTAAATCCAATTATTACTCAAACTTCAACAGAGAAAACAGTCATCCCTAAACAAACATGATGGAGAAAAGACTGGAGTCTGAGGTCCGCATGAAAACACTGAGATCACAGTTGAATCAGAAACACGGCTCACAGGTAAAGGTGCTCATTGTTGTGAAGTCTGTCCCAAACTTCCTGTTATTTTTTTTGTTTGTTTGTTTTTGTCCAGTTTTTGGTCAACTTGTTGCAGGTTTCGTTATGAGTTTGGACTTTTCTCTGTCTCTAACTCTGGATTGAAAAACCTCTTGGATTGACCCCACTAGACACTGGCTCAACGATTAACACTGACTTTAGCTAGTTAGCTTAGCGTAAGCTAGGTGGGCCAAAGGGCACGGGTCAGTGACAGACCCGGGTCCATGAAGACTGAGCCCTGAGTGCAGCCTTTGGCGCTGTTTTTATTATGATTATTCTCACCCAGGAGGGGACTGAGCTCAAAATCTCAGTAACAGCACACTAGCTCACCCCTGACCTTTAAACACACTCCTGCATGTTCATCTGTCAGAAATCACTCTCAGTATCTCCCAGGTAAGACCAGTCTAACACAGACCTGGACCAGCAGACACAACAGAGACTGTAGAGTCCAGCAGATCCTGTCGGTGATTCTGAACCTGAGCTCGTTATTAAGTCCTATAACTTCATAGAAAACAGCCCCTGATGATCTGATATAAATGTTCAAAGAAAGCTGGAGAATTACCGCAGTAAATTCATGTAAGATGAGCTCTTGGACAGATGAGCACACACCTGTGTCACCTGCTGCTGAGTGCTGATCAAACAGAAGGTCACAGGGACAGACGGACCAACACGGACCCTGATGGTCTCAACTCTTCATTCTGACAGGTCAAATAAAAACTGAACCAAAGAGGGCTAAACAAAGACCAGAGAGAGGGTTTTAGTGCACATCTAGACTGACCGGTCTTTCAGAGACCGGTACAGAAAAACCACAGCCCCGATTCCAAAGAAGTCTCCCAGTTCAGACTCAGCCCGTCCCTGACACCTCCTGACAAAGGCTAACAGAGCAGCTCCAGGACGAGGATGTCCTCACATCGTCTGCACGAACACCTCCCCCCTTACCTGGATCAGGACTTTGATGTACATCAAAGGGTGGGAGAGGACGGTGAGCCCCGATCCCAGCAGTACTTGGCCACACGTGTCCGCCATTTTTAGAGAGACAGGGGAGACAGGAAGTTCTTCTCTTTCGTCTTACGTCACATCAGCTGAAGGGCCCATCCTTTATGCTTTAACTGCGGCAGCGCCGCCCAGTGTTTGAACACGGCATAGATATAGATACACATAAAAGAGGCTAGATGGCTCGAGGCGGAGTCACCTGCGTCCCTACACGGCGGCCATATTACTCCAGTGTACCATTCCGGTACGCTCTATGGCAGTGGTCTCCATATGGCGGACCGCGGTCCACTTCCGGACCGGGAAAGAGTCCAATACGGACCCGAGCCTACCGCAGAAAAATGTGTTTTTTTTTCTCTCTTGTAGGCCTGCACGATATACGTGTGTGCGATAGTCACATCGCAGAGCCTGCGATGTCGGAGGTGAATGAACTCAGTTAATTTCAAGGGTAGCTGACTGAGATACACTGCATGTGACTCTGCATGTGCTGTGCAGCGATCCACCAATCACCTTTGTCCTTTACTCAGTTGCCAATCAGACTCAGTTCTCAGTTGCCAATCAGACTACCCTGCCAGCTGTCAATCAAAATCAGAGAGGAGGAAACCTACCCCTGCACATGTTCTGCACATGGAGTGAGACGCGTGTCAGCTGAGAATTACTTTCGGAACTTTACTGACTGGTAAGCCCAACAAATAAGAATTGTATGGGTTTTAAATGGTACATTTCCGTGGACCACTCTACTATAAGCGGTGCGCGTTTTGCGAGGTGCATGCAATTCTCGGAGGACATGCGTTTCTCGGCACAACACCGCTAACAACAACAACAACAACAACAACGATTGCAAAATGAGCAACGAACAAGAGAAAACCACCGAAGATGAAGATTTGTCGCCAAAAAGAAAAGGAAAGTCAGTTATCTGGAATTATTTTGGTTAAAAGAAGGATGATGTTGACCAAAACACGTGTTCTGTGTTCATCTGTCCCAGCACAATAAAAGCTAAAAATATCTCTGAGACAGACAGAAGCCATTCTAACATTCACAAAAAGAGGTAAGATCAATGCAGGTTAACTGTCCTCAAGACTTCAGCAGTGCAGCATAACATTAAATGCTATTCAGGTCATCTGGTGAAAATTCCTATAATTTTAATATCGCAATATATATCGCAGGGTTGAAAAAAATCGCAATGTTAGTTTTTTCCAATATCGTGCAGCCTTACTCTCTTGCTTTGTGCCTGGTTCAGTAAACTGCACGTGCAATTTCAGCAAGGCATTAAATCACTTGCTTACTGGCTTGACTTGTCAATCAAATCAGACCTCTTAGCCTACTCGACACACGAAGATTACCGAGCAATCCCGATGTTGAAAACTGTCAGGCGGCAGACTGAGGAGAAAGTTGTAGCAGCAGCTAAACATGTCGGCTTCAAAACCACGAAAGGTAGAGAATGAGAACAGGGTGTTTTATGGCGAGTGGACCGAGTCATTTGCATTCATTTTACCCACAGGAAGCACACAGCCAATTGAAAGTAGGCAATAATTGGCAATACAAATGAAGTGAATATTTCAAAAGAGTAATGCACTGTAAAAAAATAAATAAATAAAAATCCCTGGACCCAGGCCTGCAGGCATTTCATTCAGGTGGACCCACTGAAAATTTATATGAAGACCCCTGCTCTATGGTATGGTGAGTTATCTGCAAGATCAAAAATACTCTTAACTCGCTGAAATCTTGACAGATTTACCAATGGTTTTGTTTATTACAGACTTGAGTAACGTGGCTATGAGTCGGGATGCTTGGACATATTGAAATGGTAGATTTACTTTGAGAGAAAAAAAATAATCATAAAGCACAGTTGTTTTACAGCTATTTGCATGCAAGGGCTAACTTTGAGTCGCTTTGCGCGAGTTGTCAAGGCAGACCACAATCAAGATTTTAATTTCTTGTGTGACAGCCTATACTTTTTGTCTAAGTGACAGTCACTGTGGATGTGATTGTGTTTATCAGCTGTCAAACTTGGCTAACAGACTCGCTGTGAGTGAGACCAAGTACGTATTATAAAGTTGACCCAGTAATTTTACATCAGCTGGAGAGGTAGAAATGCTCTTTCGATTCAACATAACTTAAGTTGTACATGATTTCCAAGCTGTTTGATTTGTTAAAAACATCTAAAGTAGCAAAATGAGGCAGAGATTTAAATTAAAAATAAATATATATGTTATTGCTATATGTTATTATAGTAATCCATATAATAGAATATTATTAATATAACAAACATGGAATGGTTAAATGTTTTATATATAAATGATTTAATATAACTGCCTTGTGTGTATAGGCCTATAGCTATTGCTCTACCTATCTGCTGAATGTTTATTTGTGAAAATCCATGGTTAAAATTATTCTTGAGTATGCAGGAACATAACCAAAACTCTGAGGTTTGTTACAAACCAAACCGTTCGAAAATCGGATTAAAAGTAAGCAATCTATGGTTATTTTAATGCCACATGCACCTTAGGCTGTGATGTGATTAGTGGGCGAGCGTCCTGTAGCAAAATGGCCACTGTGCGCAGACGTCAGTGTGTGTGTATATATATATATATATATATATATATATATATATACATGTATGTGTGTGTGTGTGTGTGTGTGTGTGTGTGTGTGTGTGTGTGTACTGATCATTCTGTAACATAATTCAAATGTAAAAGAAAAAGATATTTGAGATTTAATTTTCAAATTATGCCCTGGCAAATGTGTACCAAAACCCAATTCAAAATGTCAAATCTGAACATTCAAATGCATTTTCCGTATGGCTTTTTGATTCCAAAGTCCGAACTGCGTAAATGCAATTTTCCTCCCCCTTAAAAACTTTGTTTAAACTACCGATCAGTTTCAGATTCAGCAACAAGCTGGTGATGTGACAGGCTAGCTAGCAGGATAACCTCAGATGTGATGAAAAATGGACTTACTTTGCTTCTAACCATTAAGAGAGCAACTCTACTTACTGTATGTAGAAAGTTAAGGAAATTATTTTTTTTTTTTTTAAAGGAGAGCTTGCAATCATATGCAAAGAAGCTGTGGAGTAACAACATAAAAATGTCAGCAGTTTAATTTGCTGTAATGTGTTTGGTTGATACTGTACCATACATACTTAGAATAGAATAGAATATTCCTTTATTGATCCCCCATGGGGGAACTTTTTTTGTCACAGCAGCATCACAGACAAAGAGTGCAAAAATGCAGTTATAAAAATAAAGATCCTAATATCAAGAACTTAAATAAATGTAATAATTAAGAAAAAATTTAGAAAAAGGAAAAAGGGAGAAGAAAGATAAAACTATATACAATATACACAATTTAAATGCCAGAAAAAAGTGGTGGTGTGAGTCCAGTTTTATTACAGTTCGTTGTAAAGTCTTATTGCAGAAGGGAGGAATGACCTGTGGTAGCGCTCCGTCTTGCAAGGTAGGAGTCTAAGTCTGCTGCTGAAGGAGCTGCTTAAAGCCCCCAGTCTGGTGCAGTGGGTGAGAGGGATTGTCCATGATGGATACAAGCTTTGCTAACATCCTCCTCTCACCTACCTCCTCCAGGGAGTCCGAAGAACAGTCCAGGACAGAACTGGCCCTCCACTAACCTCTAGTTCTCAATTGTAATGCACACTTTTGTTGTTCTGTAATAACATTTGAAAATTAAAAGTGTGTGATACCTTGAATCCGTTCAGACTGCTCGTTTGATCTTGTTGCTTTGATGTCAGAAGACTCTGCAAAGACACACATTCACATGTACAATGAGAGTGACAATCGCCCCCAGCTTTTCAGTTAATACATCAGATGAAGTGGAAGTAATGCAAAGTGAGAGAAAGGTGGAGAGTACAGAGCCTTATAGGGGCTATGGAGGAAGAAATGGAGGCGGATTCTAAGAAACTTTCTGAAAATACTGAGGCTAATGCAAGATCTAACGAATACCTTTCATTCAGATTAATTCCTTGTCCAGGTCACATAGACCAGGTTTTGTACCAGCTCACCTCTGACAGAACCTGTGGATATGAGAAGTTCATAAAACTTTGTGTGTTCTTGTTATTTTCCTTAGCATTTATTAGTTATTATACTCTCTTTTCAAGCCTTACAATCTGAGCCCCCGTTTTGAGCCTCTGTCTTAAAGCGCTACATTTGTTACCCTTGGAACCCAGCACTTTGGAACCCTCCTCTAATGCTGCCATGCAACAAAATTGTGGATATTGAGCAATCAGGTGTTTCTCTATTTAGGATGGCACACAATGAAATAAGGTGACATGTTTTGGTCCCTGAATCTGACTGAAAAGTTTGAAACGTTTCTAACGGTACCTTTTGATAGAAGAAGGTCTGTGTACTTCAGTGACTGAGAAAAGATCATGGACAACAGTCAGTGATGACTTTGAAGCGTTTTGACTGCATGAGTCCTTCTGTTCCACGTTGCACAGACTTCCTACATTCATTGATTGGCACAGTTAATGTCTTGTCTGTCAAGGTTACCTGGCCCAATGGCCCTATATGAGAGGCTACAGAGGCCCCGGAGTCCCACCCAGGCATGTTGCACCCCTCCATCGTCCAATCATCTTTAAATGATGATGAGCAGAAACAGAGAAACTATAACAACACTATGGCAGCACAGGCAGGGGGAAAATGGAGAATGCAAGTACAAAACGGAAAGGCGGTGTGGAGAAATTGAAGGACAGAAAAGGAAAGGTCTAGCGACACAGGCTGCTAAGAGCAGAAAAGAGACGGAAATGTTTGCCTCAGGGCCGGCGGCCAGCAGCACCAATCCTACTTTTAGTGGGTCCCTCACAGCATCAGCTGCTGTCTGGTTTCGCAGGTCTGGACATTTATGATCATTTCCTTGAAGTAATAATCATTATATTTATCATTTTGCACTGCAGATGCAGTAGTTCATCTGCCTAAGCGTCTGGGTCTGATTGCATTTCCATGAAGAAATTATCATAAATGTTCTTCCTCGAGCTGCATCACCCTGCAGCAGTCCGTAATGGACTAGCCCGAGGTCTCGCTACAAACAAGCGGCTGCTGGAGGAGAG